ATTAGGTAATGACCTACTAATCTTTAAATAGCACACAACAGTTGGTGGTCAGGTCAGATGGTCAAGTGACCCGGCCTTCTCACCTGATCACAAATCTTCTTAATTACAAAATTGTCCAGCTTGTACATGCGTTACTCAAATTCATGTTGAATGCTTGGTATGTTTAATAAGACTAGATTCTATGATGTTCCTACTATCAATTGAATGACATGGTAATATTGAGGAGGCATTATCCCAGTCAATGCAATGCTTGTTATCCCTCAAATGAACAAACAGAGCATTGGATTCTTGGCCTGTCCTAACACTGTATTTGTGTTGTTTAATTCTAGTTGCAAGATCTTTTACCTGTCTGGCCTAAGTAAAACATATTACATTCCTTGCAAGGAACTTTATAAATGCAGCCTCCTCAATATTGACCATGTAATTCAATTGATAGTAGGAACATCATAAGTCTAGTCATATTAAACATGCGAAGCATTCAACATGAATTTGGTGTAACGATTACTGACAATTTGTGAAAAAGATTTGGATCGTGGGGGTCACCCTGGTTTTTTTGTTTTTTTTTGTTTTTTTTCTTTCACTTATGATTATCGCTATACCTGATCCTTGGCACCTACAGTGATTTACTTGCTTTTTATATATTATATATATATATATATATATATATATATATATATATATATATATATATATATATATATATATATATATATATATATATATATATATATATATATATATATATATATATATATATATATATATATATATATATATATATATATATATATATATATATATATATATATATATATATATATATATATATATATATATATATATATATATATATATATATACAGTATTACCCGTAGCGCTTTCATAGGTTTTTCGCTCTGTGATTGCCTTGCCAAAAGCTGAACTTTATACTTGTGGCATTTTTTTCATCATATGCGCGGTGAGTGTCGGCTGAAGCCATTTTAGATTGCACCCACCCCCACCGCCACCCTGCCTGACTGCCTGTTTTAGCTCATAAAATTCATACAAATTACCCAGCCAGAATATAATTTACATTGCTGGAATTCTTATAGGTGATCATATAAAACAACATATATTTTTGCATTAAACATACATTTTTAGATAAAAATTGTTCTCTAGAGTAATTATGTTATCTTTTGTCCAAAATATATGACATTTATATTCAAAATATTCCTAGTCTTACAAGGAATCCAGCAATGTCAATTATATTATCCTAACTTTAGTTTGAGGTATTATTTATTAAATTTAGTAGTTTATCCCACACATCTCCTTGGGACGGTTGGTGGGGGTGGGGGGTGGGGGAGGGAGGACCAACCGACCGACCATCTGTTACCCCGTGAAGAATTATTTTTTTTTATTAACTGAAGATATTTGTTTTAGCTCATAAAATTCATACAAATTACCCGGTCAGAATATAATTTACATTGCTGGAATTCTTATAATTTGGTGATCATTTTGAATATAAACAACATATATTTTGCATTAAACATACAATTTTAGATAAAAATTGTTCTCTAGATAATTATATTTATCTTTTGTCCAAAATATATGACATTTATATTCAAAATATTCCTGGTCTTACAAAGGAATCAGCAATGTCAATTATATTATCTAACTTTAATCTGAGGTATTATTTAATACTAAATGTTAAAACTCTTGAATGGAGTGGTGGGGGGGTGGGGGAGGGTTGGGACTGACCACGCGGTTGGAAGGGGAAGGCAAGGTGGGGTACTTTGATTGACAGATAGTGTCGAAGAATATTTTTTTTTTTAACTGAAGATATTTGTTTTAGCTCATAAAATTCATACAAATTATCCGGCCAGAATATAATTTACATTGCTGGAATTCTTACAATTTGCTGATCATTTTGAATATAAACATCATAGATTCATTAGACATACAAATTTTAGATGTAAGTTTATTCTGAGTAAATATGTTATCTTTGAAAATATATGACATTTATATTCAAAATATTCCTGGTCTTACAAGGAATCAGCAATGTCAATTATATTATCCTAACTTTAGTTTGAGGAATTATTTATTACTATACCTGGTTTTCCCCAAAAAATTTCTCAGAGGAAGAGCCAGTGAGTGTAGTGTGAGAAGGGGAGGGAGTTGAGTCCATTATTTGAATGGACATTAACTAGCGACTGTATTTCTCTATTTCTCTTAAGTATTAATTGTGTGCATGTACCATCATAAAATTAAGATGTTATTTTACTACAACATAGTTTTTGTCGTCAAAAGAGTGGAGTTTGGGGGTGGGCTGGGTTCTATTGGAATTAATCCCATATGTTCTGTTATTCATAGCAGCGGTTTCACTTAACACGGGACCCTCTGGGTCAATTGACGCGTTAAGTGAGTACAACTTTGTATATATATATATATATATATATATATATATATATATATATATATATATATATATATATATATATATATATATATATATATATATATATATATATATATATATATATATATATATATATATATATATATATATATATATATATATATATATAATAGGTTATGCTATAACGAATCTAATTGGTTCTAGAACCTTGTTAAGTTATAGCATTCGTTAGATTAGGGTTAATTAAGTTTCAGGCCCCAAATACAACCACTTACTGAAAAATACAATATAAAATTGTAAAAATTAAAAAGTGCATAAATATGCATCTAAACCCCTGTAATAATGAACATCATTAATACTTGTAATAAAAAAACAATTATTAAAAAAATTAAATAATGTTCGTTGTAGGAGTTTCGTTCGTTATAGCATTCTCAATTTTATTGGTAAAACTGTTCGTTATAGGAATATTCGTAGTAGGATCCGTTAAGTTATAGCATACCCACTGTATATATATATATATATATATATATATATATATATATATATATATATATATATATATATATATATATATATATAATTTTTTTTTTTTTTTTTTTTTTTTTTATATATATATATAGATATATATAGATATATATATATATATATATATTTATATATATATATATATATATATATATATATATATATATATATATAATATATAGATATATATATATATATATATATATATATATATATATATATATATATATATATATATATATATATATATATATTATATATATATATATATATATATATATATATATATTTTTTTTTTTTTTTTTTAAAACCGAAAGCTCTAAAACCGAAGTTTTCTGTGGGGCATTTTTTTTTTTTTTTTTTAACGGGGTTATTAGCCCACCCAGGCACAGATCACTGACCCACGCCGGGGGCCTGGGGCGAAAGTAATAATAATAATAATTATTCATAGTAAATAAAAATTTTTAATAAAAATACACCAAAATAAAATAATAATAATGATTACAGTGACCCTTGTTTAGCGAACACCTCGGTTAGCGTAATTTCGATTAACGAACTGCCTTCCATAAGGATCTTCAATTCGGTTAACGAAAAAAAATTCGGTTAACGAAGTTCTTACGAACCGACCTCAACATGTTTTCGCTTGCACTGACCGGGCAACCAGCTTTAGTATCAGTCCGTCAATACATTAATCGGTTCTAGGGCTTAAATTCCTTACTATTTTAGTAAATATCAAGAAGTTTATACTATTCAATAATTTTAAAAGTTTAATATTCAATTTTTTAGTCATTTTAACAATTATTGAACATAATTGAAGGTAAAGTGACTAGTTTAATGCACGGCATCCAGCCTGTTAACACAGCAAACAGGAGTTAGTCTCTCTCTGTTTTCACTGGAGGTAACATCTTGCTTGAGACTCTCTTCAACTAAACCCTTTTTTTCTGTGTTTCCAAGCAAATTATTGGTCATTTTGAAATATATTTTACATATTGACAATATATAATGCAGTGCAGTGTTGATTTAAAGAAAATAATCTTGAATTACACCAGAGAGCTAAAATTTTATGGGTGAAATGGCGCCATGGGGTGACTTCTCTTCCACCCCAATGCCTTCTCTTCTTCCTTCTCCTCCACCCCCATTCTAAATCCCATCATCATCATCATCATCATCCAGGAACCTTCTACATACACACCTCAAAGTAAGTGAACTTTTCTACCATTTTTGTTGAATTTAGGAAATTTTCGGTGAGCTGGAACCAATTACCCAAAAACCCATTGAAACAATGGGTTAACGAAGTTTTCGGTTAACGAACGACCTTCTGGAACGGATTGAGTTCGTTAACGGAGGGGTCACTGTACAATAATAATAATAATAATAATAATAATAATAATTTTAATAAAATATAATTATAAAATTATTAATAAAATTATTAATAATAATAATAACAATAATACTGTAATAATAAAATAATAATACAGTAAAGAAATACAAGAATGAAAAAAAGATCAAAAGTGAGAAACACGACCTAGACCAATGAATTATTATTATTATTATAATTTTTATTATATTTTAGACCCCCAGGCCCCAATGTGGGTCAGTGATCTATGCCCGGGTGGGCTAATACACATATATATATATATATATATATATATATATATATATATATATATATATATATATATATATATATATATATATATATATATATATATATATATATATATATATATATATATATATATATATATATATACTATATATATATATATATATATATATATATATATATATATATATATATATATATATATATATATATATATATATATATATATATTAAAAAAAATAACCATTCTGAAAAGCAAAATACTTACTCTATTTAGGATTTAGGATAAAGTTGTCAACATATATATATATATATATATATATATATATATATATATATATATATATATATATATATATATATATATATATATATATATATATATATATATATATATATATATATATATATATATATATATATATATATATATATATATATATATATATATATATATATATATATAGTAGAACATCAGTAATTTAGACTAATATAGGGCAAAGAAGTTTCAGAATCTGTGCTGTTCTGAAGAATCTGATTAGATATTTTCTCCAGGATAGGAAGCTTTTCCGCTTACTTTCAGAAAATCTACAGCACTGTACAGTTCTGTGTTCAGTGAGATACACAATTAGAATTTACAGTTAAGTAGCACAAACATAGAAACATTTCAGTGAAAATGTGAGAACAGTGCATTGGTAGTTATCCTTCTTTTTGTTTTAACTGAAGCTGTAAAATACTATTTTACTTTTCTATTCTCTGAGACTGAGGTGGACCCTGAGCAGAAGTGGTGACTCTGTACAATACCAGATTCAATGATGTCCTCGGATAACTCTGGTGTTACCTGCATTATTAGTTATAATTTGATGATTTAAAGCTTAACCTCATGCTGGTGCACAGTTATCTATGAGCCTGTCTTTTTGATGACTGGTCTCCTCATATGACCCAGGTATCTATCCCTGTGGCTGATGCAACACTTCCAAACTCTGTGACCCACACTGTAGTCACCTGTGGCTGACTCTGTGGCTCCCCTCTCAGCCACCGCATGCACAGGTGTGTGTACAGTGATCAGTGTTAGAAATAATTGGTGAAATACCCGGCATGTTCTAAATTATCCTAATTCTGTGAGCTGGTTTAAATGGACCTTGAGTTTGTAGTGCAGGATCATTACATTGGAATTTTTTTTTATAAATACTATTTTTGAACATGTGTACTGTAAATTGCTTTTTACACAGTACTGTATTAAAAAATAGCCAAGTCCATCCATCGGGGTCACATTTCTCTGGGTGTCTGAAATATTGATGTTCAAGTATGAAGTTCTATTGTATATATAATTTTGTAAAGAAAATGAGGTTTGTGTCTGTATAGACATACTGCACTAAGAATGTTCATATAAAGAATTTTTTCCTATAATGTGATGAAATACTTAATGCCTTAAACCTGGTACTCAGCCTTTATAACTGACTTAACAATAATAGATGGACTCGCAGTATGTTTGGTTTGTAAGTTTTAGTAAGTATAAAGTAACACCAAAATCCATGTCCCTTGTTTTGAGGGTAAGACTTTGAAACAGTGCTAATATGAATAAAAAATTTGTTATTTGCCTCGTAAGTTTAATTATGATGTAGATTTATGGATATGAAAGCACAGTGGCACAGAATCACAGTTAAAGCAGGAATTTATTTGCCTTAGTTAAGAGGGAACTAAGTTAATGTGACATAAGCTGTCAGGTTTTTGAGACCCATTCTTCACTAGATCAGAAGGAACCCTGTAAGTCATGCCCTCACCACCACTTCCCTTCTCACAGTACAATGGTTCAAACAATGCTAACAGTCCAGTGCATCTTAAGCAAGAGCCAACCAATCATGTTCAACTTATTTCTTGGTCACTTGTGACATGGAAATAGATTTTTTATTTTTTTTATTCTGTAACAAAACTAGTTTTTCTCTCTCCTCTTACTACTGTATTGTGTATGTGCTAATTATTTACATGATTGGTATCTAAGTAAAACAGTTATTTGTTGCCAAATATACTGTGAGTCTTGTTGTATGATTTGCCACAATATGAGTATTTTTTAAGGGTTTACAAGCCCTAAAAGGTGACGAAGTAAAAATCAGCAAGTTAGGCATTTTTAGCAAGTTTTACTCTAATGATGTTATGTTATGAGAACATGTTGACAAATGTCTTAAGTGAAAATAACCTTGACATTATTGTAGCCTCATCTCTTTAGCCTGGAAGGAAGGTGTGGGATGGAGGTGATAACTAAGAATATTCCCGGGTTCCTCCCTTCAATCCTGTATTTATTTTTCCATTAAAAGAGAGAGAAGTGCATTACAATAATTCATTTAGTGAGACCGGCAGTGTTGACTAACAGGGAAGGCCTCTGTGCTCAGTTCTAGCATGGCTGGAATTGCGTGGCTTGTTTTAGTGAGACGCACTAACTTTTTGTGGCCGTTTTTGTTGTTTTGGCGTAGGAACCTCCCCCTCCCTGTAGCCTCTTGTGGAGAGCCACTGTTACCCAACGCGTCAGTCACTTACAAGTGTGACGTGTGGTAGAGGAATGTAAGTGTTTCAGTTTATATTGACACAAGTTTTATTTATAAATTCAGCTCTTGTTTAATAAGGATAAAAATCTCTATCTTCACCCTCTAGTTCCCTCAGATATCTATTGTTAAACTATTTCATGTAAATCTTTAGTACTTTCTCAGTTGGTAAGTGAATGTTATGGGATTCTAAGTTCTTTTTAAATATTACTTCTCTTTTTTCAATATTGCATATTTAATATCAATAATTCTCTCTATTCATCACCTATTATAAGAAATGCCATTTTGGCAAAGCACACAATTTGTCTCCTTATCAAGCACAGTATACCACATGTAGCAATTAATATTAAGATAATAAACACAACTGTATTTTCTCTATATACCTCATAGTAATTAGTAAAGTTTAAGAATAGTTTTTTAACTAAATGATGAAGATACATTTTTAAGACTTTAGTCATGTTCTTCCTGATGTAAAAGTTTAACTGTTCAAGAATCACTTGAACAATAGTTATTTTCCTAATACTGTATGAGTAAAACAGGGACTAATGATTAACTCGAGACCTTTGGTACTGTAGTCTGGATTTCTTTATCTTTTTAAATGATTGAGCACTGTACTGTTTTGCTGTTTTTATTTGATTTAGTTCTGAAATTTCATGCTGCATAGATAATTTCTGCAAACATTTTAGTTATAAAGTACAGTAAGTGTTGGTAGTAGTAGGTGCAGGCTTATTTACCATGTAGTTCTCACTTATGATGACCCGCAAGCTGAAGAGGAGGACAACTCCCTCACCATGCTGAATACTCCCCCTATATACAGAGGAGATCACAACCATCACCTTCCCCTGGGGTTACTGCCTACCGGCATGCCGACCGTGCAGGATGCAAAGCCGGCATTGGCGACGGAAGCAGAGAAGAAGATGGAACGGGAAAAGCCACAACCTCGTAAGTGCTGTGAAACCTCCATATAACTGACTCCTCTCTCCATATAATCCCCGAGATGGGGTTTTCACCTCTAACGGATCCTCGATATGACAGAATTTCACGTCTATATAGTCCATTAAATAGAGGTTTCACTGTGTAGTATACAGTCTTGATCTGAATATTTGATTGGAAACAGCTGAGGGGAATGTTCACTTTTAACATTTAAGTTATCTGATTTATGGAAAGTAGCAGGATATTTTCTTTTCTTTAAGGACAGCCAAATAGTAACTAAAAAACCTACTTAGGGGATTCTATTACAACACAATGCTGTAAAAATCAAATAAAATAGGCATGCAGATTTGACCATTATAGGGCTATGGTTCACTGTTATACAGACTGGACACATAAACCACACAAAACGGATTCTTACATACACGTCGAGGTCATCCCTAATATCCGGAATGCCCCATTTGTTCTGTACCATAATTAGAAAGTCATTAATGTAAAAGAAAAAATAATCTTAGATTTATATTTCAGGGTTTGGATTTGCAATGATTCATTTATGAAATATCTTACCCATAGCATTTGATGAGAGTGCAGTAAATGATATCAATAATTTCTCGATCATATTTGGGTATTCGTCTATAAGACAGATTTGTGTTAGTGTCCAATTAAGAGGGAAATTTATTGTATGTATTGTACAAACCTCGGAGAACTGTAGTCTGTTATATACAGTATAGTGTGTGGCAACATAGACTAGGGAGTAGTTTTCTTTCCTGATTTTTTTTTTTTTGTATGTCAGCTTGCGAGTTATCGGACGAAGAGAAACAGATGTTGATGATGACAGAAGAATTCCACAGCTTCTTTGATCGCTCGACACGTGTCATGGAGCGAGCACTAGCTGAAGATACCAACATTTTTGTGGATTATTCACACGACTATGAGGAGGACGGTGAAGCGTATGTACTATACCGTACTGCTATTTTATGGTTGGATAGAAAATATTCCCATAATTTTGTATGTGTGATATCTGATTTCTTATTTTTTTCTGGAGATTTTTGTAAAAACCTCAAAATGCTGTTACCATGTGAGGCAGCGGGTGGTAAGAGTACTGTGGCTGTATAACATTAGTTTCTATTCGTCCTGTTACTATTTGATGTATTTATTTGTTTTCTTTATTTATTTATTTTTAATTTTTTTAATTTTATCATTCAATGGAAAATATAGCACTGAAAGGTAATTAACTCAAAAGTGCATTAACATTTTTATTATTTATTTATTATTGATATTATTACTATTATTGTTTCCTCCTTTAACTCCTAGAAAACTAATTCACATTTATCTTTAATAAATGAGAACGGAGGAGTAAAATTATCCTTGAATAGTTGGTTCTTTGATGAGAGATGGTCACGTAATGGTTGGTTCTTTGATGAGAGGTGGTCACGTAATGGTTGGTTCTTTGAGGAGAGGTGGTCACGTAATGGTTGGTTCTTTGACGAGAGGTGGTCACATAATGGTTGGTTCTTTGATGAGAGGTGGTCATGTAATGATTGGTTATTTGATGAGAGGTGGTCACGTAATGGTTGGTTCTTTGAGGAGAGGTGGTCACGTAATGGTTGGTTCTTTGATGAGAGGTGGTCACGTAATGCTTGGTTCTTTGATGAGAGGTGGTCACGTAATGATTGGTTATTTGATGAGAGGTGGTCATGAGAGGTGGTCACGTAATGATTGGTTCTTGATGAGAGGTGGTTATGTAATGGTTGGTTCTTTGATGAGAGGTGGTTACGTAATGGTTGATTCTTTGATGAGAGGTGGTCACATAATGATAGGTTCTTTGATGAGAGGTGGTTACGTAATGGTTGGTTCTTTGATGAGAGGTGGTCATGTAATGGTTGATTCTTTGATAGAGGTGGTTGGTTTTTGATGAGAATGATTGGTCTCTTTGACGAGGTGGTCACGTAAATGGTTGGTTCTTTGATGAGAGGTGGTCACGTAATGATTGGTTGATTCTTTGATGAGAGGTGGTCACGTAATGGTTGATTCTTTGATGAGAGGTGGTCACTTAATGGTTGGTTCTTTGATGAGAGGTGGTCACGTAATGATTGGTTCTTTGATGAGAGGTGGTCACGTAATGATTGGTTCTTTGATGAGAGGTGGTCACGTAATGGTTGATTCTTTGATGAGAGGTGGTTACGTAATGGTTGGTTCTTTGATGAGAGGTGGTTACGTAATGGTTGGTTCTTTGATGAGAGGTGGTCACTTAATGGTTGATTCTTTGATGAGAATGGTTGGTTCTTTGATGAGAGGTGTCACGATGGTTGGTTCTTTGATGAGAGGTTTGTAATGGTTGGTTCTTTGATGAGAGGTGGTCAATGTGATTGGTTCAGCACGTGATGAGAGGTGGTTGCGTAATGGTTGGTTTCTTTTGATGAGGGGTCACGTAATGATTGGTTCTTTGATGAGAGGTGGTCACGTAATGTTGGTTCTTTGATGAGAGGTGGTCGTAATGGTTGATTCTTTGATGAGGGGTATCCGTAATTGTTGGTTTTGAGGAGGTCATAATGGGTTGGATTCTTTGATGAGTTGGTCCAGATAATAGTTGGTTCTTTGATGAGATGTAGTCACGTAATGATTGGTTCATTGATGAGAGGTAGTCCCGTAATGATTGGTTCTTTGATGAGAGGTGGTCATATAATGGTTGATTCTTTGATGAGAGGTGGTCACGTAATGGTTGTTGGTTCTTTGATGAGAGATGGTCACGTAATGGTTGGTTCTTTGATGAGAGGTGGTCACGTAATGGTTGGTTCTTTGAGGAGAGGTGGTCACGTAATGGTTGGTTCTTTGACGAGAGGTGGTCACGTAATGCTTGGTTCTTTGATGAGAGGTGGTCACGTAATGATTGGTTATTTGATGAGAGGTGGTCACGTAATGGTTGGTTCTTTGATGAGAGGTGGTCACGTAATGATTGGTTCTTTGATGAGAGGTGGTTATGTAATGGTTGGTTCTTTGATGAGAGGTGGTTACGTAATGGTTGATTCTTTGATGAGAGGTGGTCACATAATGATAGGTTCTTTGATGAGAGGTGGTTACGTAATGGTTGGTTCTTTGATGAGAGGTGGTCATGTAATGGTTGATTCTTTGATGAGAGGTGGTCACGTAATGGTTGATTCTTTGATGAGAGGTGGTCACGTAATGGTTGGTTCTTTGATGAGAGGTGGTCACGTAATGGTTGGTTCTTTGATGAGAGGTGGTCATGTAATGGTTGATTCTTTAATAAGAGGTGGTCACGTAATGGTTGGTTCTTTGATGAGAGGTGGTCACGTAATGGTTGGTTCTTTGATGAGAGGTGGTCACATAATAGTTGGTTCTTTGATGAGAGGTGGTCACATAATCGTTGCATCACTTATATGGATTGGTCACCCCAGTATCCAGAACTCTTAGTAGCCAGGTGAGGAAATGTGTTGGTTAATGAAGGTACAGTGTTATTTGTACTGTATAGGGAATGTGACTTATTCAGTGGGTATGTAGGACCATCTTTGGGTATTGTTTTAGGAGGCAGGGACTTCTTATAACATTTATATTAAAGCCCTTGTGTTTGCTCCACTAGTCATTTGGTATTTTATGCAGAACTAAACTAACTCACTCTTATCATTTTTTAACAATTTCAAAACAGATCACATTCACATGCAACTTTCAAATGGTCCACCAAGCAGCATCGCCCCAACGAGAGTAATTTTTTTAAATTAAATTATAAACGATATATTTTCCTGAAGTTCCTCCACCATAATTGTCTGGCAACAATGGCAGTTACTCCTTCGTATAAAATCCTCATGATGGCAAAGTCTTAAATAAATGTCTTTTTCAGTTTTATAAGATGGTACATTTCACAATTTTGTTGCAAATGAACTACAATAAATGTATGTGTGTACTGTAAGTATATACTGTATAGATTCTCATGAATATAGACTAACTTTACCATGTCAACACATTAGTTTTTATTTTCCAGAAACAAGAAGCTTGTTGGCCCAAACTTGCCTGACCAATTACGTATCTTGCTTTTTGGCACATGTGGTCAAAACTTAGATTTTGTTTAAATTTCATACAAAGGTATTTCTCTACATGCTGGTTAAGAATCTAAGTTCAAAACTTTAGAATTTGATTAATTAGTGTTAATTAATGATGCTTAGTTATTCATTCGAATGCCAGGAACAGAGGTTTTTCTTTGAAATTTTTGGAATGATAAAATTTTTTTTTTCAGGGATCAAAGATTCTGGCTAACAGGGCTGCACTGCACTGCACTGTACTGTACCGTACTGCACCGTACTGTACTGAACCGTACTGTACCATACTGTACTGTACTGTACTGCACTGTATTGTACTGTATGCTCTTTTTATATATGGCATGCTTGTAAAAACTCCTTAAAGTCTCTTTTAGAAGAGCATCATTTGGAGGTACAGTATTGGCTGAGTAAATATAATACCTTACATGCTATCCTAAGGGTTGCTGTTTTGAACCCTGATCTCTCCCAGCTGTGAAGATGGTTGCGTGTAATTATTATGGAATTCGTTTTTTTCCTCCTATTATAATGAGTATAAATATACGTCACCAGTTAATGTAAAGTTAGTGACCTGCAGCTACTAACTGTTGTCCTCACCCCTCAGCTACAATAACAGTGAGGACTCTCCACATGACCCTGATGGTGTTGCACTGGTCTGGAATACCAAATTTAAAAAGGACACTCCAGAATATATCTTCCATTGCCGGTCTCCTGTCATGTCTGCCACTTTTGCCAGGTACAGTAATACTGATTCTTGTTGCTTATGTATTTATAACTTTTTTGGTAGTGTTGGTTTTACCCAACAGTTGGCATCAGGTAATTGTGGCTAACCCATGCAAGCGTTGAAAATGGCTGTGAACCAATAACAAAGATGATGAAATTGTTTATATATAAGCTGAATTTATAGAAGTGTTGTGAGTGGCAGGATAGACTTGCCATACACCTCAGGGGTTGATACATATCTGGAAAACCATCTGAGGAAGAAAGGAGTTTGTTAACTTTTCTTTATACACATTACTCTCTGTATGCCTTTGTTTTATTTGCGATTCTTTTACACAGATTTCACCAAAACCTCATCATTGGAGAAACATATTCAGGATAGATTGTTCTGTGGGATAACAGGAGCCAGAAGGGAACAGCAGTACAGAGGAGTCCCCTCTCAGCTTCAGCTCACACAGTAAGAACACCACCTTCGTCCTCAGTCTCTCTACATTACTTTTGCCCCCAAACAGATTTAATAAATATAAGTCACCTTACTTGTATTTCCCCTTTTATTTCCATTATAGTTTAAGAGAGGCAGTTAGATGCATATTGTATACTGTACCATCTTATTGGAAGGTGGTACAATATATCCATCACTTGAAGAAGCTTTAGTGTATCATTAATTATGTTGATAGTTGACAGTTGGAAACAGTAAACTATAATCCTTGTCATATTTAATAACTTGTTCACTTGATAATGTGTTCCTTTCAGCATCCAGTTTACTGCATGAAAGTTGTTGGGACACAGAACGCTCACAACTTAATAAAAGTGTCAGCACCGATGGCAAGATGTGTTCATGGTCCCTTGAGATGCTGTCTCAGCCACAGGTTAGTGGTCATAACCTTATAGAGTAGTGATACGAGTAGGTGCTCATATTTCATTATTGTGCAAAACTAAAATTGACTGTTTTTTGGTTCTTTGAAGGAGTCCATGGAGCTACAACACAAACAGTCCCGTGCAGTAGCTGTAACGTGCATGGCCTTCCCACATGGTGATTTTACCAACTTCATTGTAGGCTCTGAGGAAGGGGCTGTTTTCACTGGTGGGTACTGAAGAAAAATTTATCATTAGGGGTTAAAAAATTTGGCAGGTAGTTTTATGCGTTGAAGTGTTCAGATAATACAGGGTGATCCATTTGGGTATGGATAAAATAAAAATACTGTGAGAATGTAGCAAAAAGTGGTACAGAGGTCATATTGTTACTGCAAGCGGTACATAATTATGATGACATATAAACAAATGTTATGTTAGGCTGTAACTCATGTCATGTTTATTGGGCGTGCTTGCCCGTATACAGTATGTAGTGTGTTGAGATGGTTGAAGATGAGAGACCTAGAGGTGAGGTGTTGGGTGGTAGTAAGGGAGCTTGTTTATGTATAATCGCCTGACTCAGCAGCCCTCACCCATCGAGAGAGGGTTGGTGAGGCGGCAGTGTGCATCACTGTAGCTATTCAGACCACAGAGGCAACACCTAACTTGGTTTCTATTGAGACTTTCAACACGTAAGTTTAACTGGTACTTATTGTGTACACAGGTAGACTGTGTCCTTTGCTTTGTTTATCATTGTGACGACATAATAATATGGAAACTTAAGTACTCATCATAAGTGTTAAGATTAGACTGATTACATAGCTATGATTGTTATGTAAATATATATTGGATTAGACATTTATGTGATTGCCTATGTATGTTTTATGTGAAATACTAAAAGGAATTGTATCCAACAGGTTTGACCAAATTATAATGTTTGAGTCCAACGTTACAAGTTTCAATAAATCCTCTAATCGCCTGATTGGCGGTTATACATATGTTGTGTGTGTGTGTGGTCATATAACTGGGGAGATTGTCACAAGTGCAGTTGATGTTTGCAACCTTCAAGTGTAAGCAACTGGAGAGTTTGTTGGTCTTGATTGAGTCCAGCCACCTTGAGTCAAATGAGAACGGGGTTGTAGGAGAGTAAAAAATATATTTGAATTGTTTATACAGTAGGTTAGGACTTTGTAAGATGTACTTGAAAAATTTTAAACTTTTGGGTAACGAGACAGTACTTGTTACAGCCTGTCACCATGGGAGGAAAGCAGGTATTGATGCGTACGAGGGGCACCAAGGTCCTGTGACAGGAATGAGCACCCACTCTACTCCTGGACTTATTGATTTCTCCCATCTCTTCCTCACTTCTTCCATTGACTGGACTGTCAAATTATGGTCTGTTAAGGTAAGTGTTAGTGCTGACACAGATGCAGTGCATCCTGTCTTATTTGGTATGGTATGAGTTAAAGGGAATATGACCATGAAGATGTAGTTATTGATTTCATAAAAGAAGACTTTAAGTTTGATGTTTCAGTGTAGGCTCCCACTACTAATTTGTTTGTCTGGAATGCTTATAACATTAAAAGGCAAAGAGGCCTTTGCATTTTCTAACAGACGTATCAGTTAATTTTTAGTGTACACACTTAAAAGGAATTATTCTCTCCTCATATGCTTAGACTTAAGTTTTATTCATGGCTGCTAATTGATGATGATAACACGATAGAACTCATGTAACATTATTGTTTTAAGTACAGCCACTCTTCGACTTACGATCTACACGACTTACGACCACCCGGACGTACGACCGCCCCAGCCGTACCAAAAATGTTTCAAATTACGTATTTTAAGTCCCGACGTTAGTGATTGCGCTGTGTACTGACAAAATTTTCGTTTGTAATTCCCTTTAAAATGGCTGGCAAGCTTAAAAGTGAGAGTTTTGTGGTGCTGAAAACAAAAAGAGACCCATTTTAGATTTTCTATGTACAGCAGTACCCCGATTTATGCGGTCAATTGAACCCACAGGGTACCGCGGAAAGTGAAATCCGCGTAAATGGAACAACAGAACATATGAGATTAATTCCAATAGAGACTGGCCCGACCCCAAAACTCCACTTTTTCTGACACAATACCTATGTTGTAGTAAAAATAACATCTAAATTTTATGATGGTGTGCTCACACAATTAATATTTAAGAGAAATACAGTCGCCAGGTTAATGTCCATTCAAATAATAGACTTAAATCCCCCCCCCCCCTTCCCAGCTCACTGGCCCCTACCTCTCTGAGAAATGATTGGGTGAAACACTAGATTTTAACGTTTAGTAATAAATAATACCTCAGACTAAAGTTAGGATAATATAATTGACATTTCTGGATTCCTTGCAGGTCAGGGAATATTTTGTATGTAAACTTCATATATTTTGCACAAAAGATAAAATACTTGCTTTGTGTAAACCAAATTATTACATTAGATCGAAAATTTGTATGTCTAATGCAAAATCCATTATGTTTATATTCAAAATGATCATCATACTGTAAGAATTCCAGCAATGTAAATTATATTCTGGTCCAGTAATTTGTATGAATTTTATGAGCTAAATCAAATATCTTCAGTTAATACAAAAAAAAATATTCTTCACGACACTATCTGTCAATCAAAGTACCCCAACTTGCCTCCCCCCTCTTCCAACCGCGCCAGATGGTCGGTCGGTCCCAACCCTCCCCCCCACCCCCCACCTTCCCTCCCTACCAGAGAAATGTTGGGTGAAAAAACTAATTTTAACTTTTAGTGACAAATAATACCTCAGACTAAAGTTAGGATAATATAATTGACATTGCTGGATTCCTTGTAAGACCAGGAACATTTTGAATATAAATGTCATATATTTTGCACAAAAGATAACATATTTACTCAGAGTAAACATTAGATCTAAAATTTGTATGTCTAATGCAAAATCTATGATGTTTATATTCAAAATGATCATCAAATTGTAAGAATTCCAGCAATGTAAATTATATTCTGGCCGGGTAATTTGTATGAATTTTATGAGCTAAAACAAATATCAGTTAATAAAAAAAAAATATATTCTTCACACCGTGCCAGATGGTCGGTCGGTCCCTCCCTACCAGATAAATGTGTGGGAAAACCAGAATATTTACCTTTTTAGTAATAAATAATACCTCAGACTAAAGTTAGGATAATATAATTGACATTGCTGGATTCTTTGTAAGACCAGGAATATTTTTAATATAAATGTCATATATTTTGCACAAAAGATAACATATTTACTCAGAGTAAACATTAGATCTAAAATTTGTATGTCTAATGCAAAATCTATGATGTTTATATTCAAAATGATCATCAAATTGTAAGAATTCCAGCAATGCAAATTATATTCTGGCCGGGTAATGTGTATGAATTTTATGAGCTAAATAAAAAAAAATTATACTTCACGCGTATATGGGTAGATGAACCGCGGAAAGTGAAAGTTCGGTTCTGGCGAGGCACCACGTATATGAGAAATCACGTAAAGTGAAACCGCGTAAAGCGGGGTAATACTGTATTATCTTCGCATTTTTGACTGACGACCTGGATTTGGGTCCCTAACCCGTCGTAAGTCAAGGCGTGGCTGTATTGTGATACAGCTTGTACCTCTCTAGTCCGGCATTCTGTGGTCCGGAAACTCCCGTGGTCCGGAACGATTTTAATTTGTCCAATAGGTAGATAGGCAGCTTTTTTTTTTTTTTTCTTTTTACTTATCTGAATTATTATTATTATTACAGGAGTATTAAATTTTTGCCCCTCAGGCCCCAATGTGGGTCAGTGACCTATGCCCGGGTGGGCTAATCCCCATTAAAAAAAAAAACAAAGCCGCGGGAAATTAAGGTTTGTTTACATCCGGCAGTTCGGCTGCTCTCTCTCTCTCTCTCTCTCTGCTTGTCTATACAGAGTACAACATTTAACCCTTCAATATATATGAGCAGTAAATAAGTGTTGCTTTCATATTCTTATGTAGAGTAATGACGATATGTTTTCACATGTGCGCACTTACATACGCGCAGTCTCACTTTTTTTTTTTACCATTAATGGTTAGCTACTTATATTGTTCCATTTATTAACATTAAATAACATTACAGGTACTTCAAACAACCATATTAATTTTTTTACATTAATTTTACTACAGCTACAATCAGGGTCTTATTTTCTTCAGTTTTATATGTAGAACCAATCAGTCACTGGTTTTGTAAGCTTTAACATAAACAATGCCGGCAGCCGTCTCGTCTCATCGTGTGTTTTAATATTCCACGTATTATTAATAAATTGTATTGTTAATTTTGCACACACAAACATTAATTCAATAAAAACAAATTCAGAAACATTAATTAAAATATATATGAACAGTAAATAAGTGTTGCTTTCATATTCTTATGTAAAGTAATGACGATATGTTTTCACGTGTGCGCATGCACACTTACATACGCGATCTCTCTTTTTTCTTTACCATTATCGTTAGCTACTTCTATTGTTCCATTTATTAACATTAAATAACATTACTTAAAACAACCATATTAATTTTACTACAGCTACAGCCAAGGTCTTATTTTCTTCAGTTTTATATGTAGAACCAGTCAGTCACTGGTTTTGTAATCAACGAAAACAATGCTGTGTCATTTCCTCGTGTGTTTTAATATTCTACGTATTATTAATGAATTGTAGTGCTCATTTTGCACACATAAACATTAATTCAATAAAAAAGACATTTAGTAATAAACAATAATGAATCTTTTGTACATACGAGAAATGACGCTGTTTACACGATTATGCACGTCGTCTGCACGTTGGCGGGCCGTTCAAACCCGTCGAAATTCAAGTTTCCGCCGTCAAAATTTGTATTTATTTTTTTGTGTGTGTGTTCCAATACAATACGTTGAATTAAAAACTCGCTAAATTTGAGAAGCTACTATACGACATTTAACCCTTCAATATGTCTTCAAAGAGACCATGATGCAGAGAAAGTGGTGCTAGTGCTTCCAAGCATAAGCACAAGTCACTATCTATCCAGGAAAAGGGTGAATTTCCATGGTCCGGCAATTTCCATGGTGCGGCACCGGTCAGGTCCCGAGGTTGCCAGACTAGAGAGGTACAACCTGTACATGGTAAATCTTGGCTGTGAGAACATTGGTGCTGTGGCTGTGAGAACCAGGGCAACACATCACCTGTTGATATAATCTGCTTTAAGATAAATACTGACATTATTTGTATAGAAATTATATACTTTTCATTTTTACATTTTCTTTATTTAATATCCATTCAGGACATGCAAATGTTAAACTTTCAGTGTGGTTCAAGGGTGGGATTTATATTATTGGAAATATTTTATGTACAAGCTGCATTGTTTCTTTAAATCACATACCATATATAGGTGGAGGATAATCAACCTAGAATTCTTGAAGGCATTGTTTTTGTAATTTCACCTGGACACCGGTAATTAGCCTCTTAATACTTTATAGTAGTTATGGAATTAGTGCAACAACTTGATGGTGCAATTAGATGCATATGCTTGTAATTTACAATTTCTTTGAAGCCTTCAGTACAGTGGAACCTCCATTTAACAGACTTTATGGAGAAGGACGTCCATTATATCAAGGTTCTGTTAGATAAAAACCTCAGTCTAACAGCCTATAACCATCAGATGGAGGTTTCAGTGTACTGTACTCATATTGTGAGTTTTCCTTGATGGGATGACAAGTGATATATATAAAAACCTTACAAAGGGTCACCTTACATGAGCTGCTGTTATGCATGATATATACAGCTAGACCCCGACTTACGACTACGTGGACTTATGTCCATTGGTACTTACGACCTGCTTTGACCATACATCCATATGGGACATACGACTGCGACCGTCGTGACCAAGATTTTTTTCAAATGACGCGCGCATTTTCTATACCGAAACGTTTCCGTCCCGGGCGAGAGGGAGGGGTGTCTTGGGTCGCCTCGTGGGTACACTCACTCAGTGGAGCGCTTTGTTTGTGTTTGGCTATCGTATCCTATACTGATCGCGCTGTGAACTTTCGTTATTATCGTATTTAATTGACTTTATAATGACTGGAAAGCGTAAAAGTGAGAGTGCTGGTGGTGCTCCAAGGAAAAGGAGACAGGCAATTACTTTTGAGATGAAACTGAAGATAATAACACAGTATGAGAATGGAAAAACAGTAGCAACAATCTCACGCGACCTAGGTTTCTCACACTCGACTATATCCACTATTCTGAAGGACAAGAAACGTATTCGTGAAGTAGTGAAAGGAGCAACACCTATAAAGGGAACTATAATATCAAAGAAAAGACAAGGTCCTATCCACGATATGGAAAAATTATTGGTGATATGGATAGAAGACCA